TCACCAAAAAAAAAAAAAAAAAGTAATGAATTTGTAAAAATTTCAGATTACCAAGTCTAAGAAAACAACTCAAACAGTGGTAGAAACTATAGAATCTCCAACTTTTTCAATCAAAAATAGACAAAATACAAAACATTTTTTGACTTAGTCACTAACAATTCAACACATGAAAAAAAAGAGTCAAATAACAAGCTCGGAGCAAGCAAAGTCATACAAGGCATACGCCTGGAGCAGTTGGAGAGGCGGAAACCTCCACCGGGGACGGAATTTCCAGCCGGTTTACAATCGTTATTCTCATCGTTGAAAGCCCATAGAGGCGAACACGGCTGCTCCGAATTCGATAGCTGAAACGGCGACATAAGATTCGTAAAGATCTGGTCGGAAGACCAAGAAGATTCGAGATCCAATTCCAAATCCACATCCATCATAAACGCCGCCACGCTCTGCGGCGCCGGCAGCGGATTAAGTAAAGGTCGCTCTGACTTGGGAGAAGACGGAGCTTTATCTTCAGGATCAAATGACATTTTGGGAGGAAAATGTTTTCCTTTTCCTTTTCCTCGGGAAAATGTTGTTAAATGAGGAATTTGGTGATTCCATAGTACTGTCGGAAAAATTATGCTGTATGTTTATTTTATTTGACATTATCTTACGTATTAACGTTTGAATAATTTTAAAAAGATAACACATTTTTCCATCCAACAATTTTTGAAATGAGAAATGTTATTCATCCCCACTGAGAATACATTAATGTAATATTAAATGATAGATGAAATTAAATAAGTCATTTAATTTTACCTATTATTTAACCAATCATTTAGATCCACATAAACTAAAAATGTATCTCCACTGAGGATGAATAGCATTTTTCTTTTGAAAGAAAATTGTACGCAAAGAAATGTACACTTTGTTGTTGGAATCTCCACTGCAGTGCAGTCTTCAAATTGCAACATGGTGCATGGATTAAGAAACACAAGTAACGATAGGGATTTGTTCCCCTGTTATCCACTTGGCTAAGCTTAAAAGATAATTTTTAAAATAAAAATAATTTTTATGATTAAATTTAGAGCTTGTTTGGGAGGGATTAAAATCAAATTAAAATTGAAAATATAGCTGTTGGAGTTGACTTTTATTAGACGAGTGGGACCCAATAACGGCTATATTTTCAATTTTAATTGGATTTTAATT